TAAATTTCATATACTGAAAAAAGAAATGATAAAAAAATAAAAATAAAAATAAAATAAAATGTATTTCAACTCCTAATGCATAAATGTCCATGGATGCCACTCCTCTACACAATAGTAGGGGGGGGTGGGGGCGCAGAGGGGGTTCTAAATTATAATTTTTAAGACCGTAAAGGGGTCCTCAGTAGGAGTGCCAGATTTAGCAAATAAAAATACAGCACACCCAGTTAAATTGAATTTCAGATAAACAAATATTGCATGGGATACACCCATACCAAAATATTTTCTGAAATTCAAATTTAATTTGGTGTTCTGCATTTTACCTGCCAGTCCCAGGCCTAAGGCCAAAAAGTTTGCAAAAGTCTGCCCTAGTAGGAGATCAGTTCCCTAGTAGGAGATCAAGGATCCAATTCCAGAAATCCCGGGGGGGGGGCACTTCCGGTCAGGGGGTGGGGGCAGGCCAGCGCCGCGCAGGCCCCGCCCATAGCCGGAAGTTTCCCAGGCCGGGTCCCGCCTCCGAGCCCACCTCCTGGCGCTGAGAGCCTCAGGGTGTAGGTGTCCCGCGCAGAGCGGGTGGAACCGCCTTCCTGCCTCCAGGGGGCAGCGGCCGCGCTCTGTTCCCTTCGTGGACAGCTCGGCGCCCGCGCCGCTCTTCCTGTCGCTGGGAGTGGCGGGCCGACCAGCGGGCGGCCCGGGCCGGCGGTCGCCATTCCCGTGTCGCTGCGCCCGCGGGGGCCGCCCGAGCCCGCCACGATGCCACTGGGCCTGAAGCCTACCTGCAGCGTCTGCAAGACCACGTCGTCCTCTATGTGGAAGAAGGGCCCGCAAGGGGAGATCCTCTGCCACCACTGCACGGGCCGGGGCGGCGCGGGCAGCGGGGGCGCCGGCACAGGGGCGACTGGCGGGACGGGGGGCAGCAGCGGCGGTGGCGGCTTCGGCGCGGCGACCTTCGCTAGCACCTCTGCTGCCCCTCCGCAGAGCAACGGGGGCGGGGGCGGCAAGCAGGTGAGCTTCAATGGCCCCTCCCGCAGGCGGAGGCCGGCTGGGCGGGGAGGGGGCGCGCCCTGGGGCCTTCCCTGACCGTGGGACCCTGCTAGAGCGGGCCGCCTCCTCCCACCACGAAAAGATCTTCGTTGATTTGGCCCATCGTAAGCACCTTTTGTTATTTTCAGAAATTGAAAGTGTACAGAAAGTAAGAAAATTAAAAACCCTTCAGAAATCCCCCTCATTGTAATTACAGTTGCAGGAGTAACCAGACATCTCAATACACACACGTATACACAGACACTAAACAGGATCACGCTACTGGACCTTTCTCTGTTAAAGTTATTTTACCATTATGTCATGTTAAGTAATATTGTCATTGTTTTAAATGGCAGCATAAGTATTCCATTGTAGGAAGTGCCATACCTAACTAACCCTCGCCCTGGAGAGTTCAGTCGTTAAGGGTTGTTCACTACTATAAATGCCAACAAATCAATAGTTCTTGCCTTGGCCTAGACTTACTCGCTACTCCTGCCCCCCTGCCCTTCTGTAAGTAGTTCACACGTTTTTGGAGGCTATGGAGATGCTTGCCCAGGGCGTTCTAATTAGCCCAGTTCCTGTGATTACCCAGCATAAAAGGAAAAGGTACATTTTTACTTAATTTTTATAAATCAGCATAAAGTGTGTACTCTGGAGTCTTTGTAAGATGGTTGTATCGGGACAGCAGTCTTTCCATAATTTTATTTATCTTTTTTGTTCTTTAATTGTTCATATAACAGAGTAAGCAGGAAATTCACAGGAGGTCTGCTCGGCTGAGAAACACTAAATACAAATCTGCTCCAGCTGCTGAAAAGAAAGTTTCCACCAAAGGAAAAGGGAGAAGACATATTTTTAAATTAAAAAATGTAAGATGATTGTGGACAGTGTCTTTGACGGTAACGGCATTGTGTGTGTAGTGTGTCTGTCACTGCCTTCATCTCTCATTTGGACTTCGCTCTTGGGAGCCTTTCTGCAGTATTCTGGGGAGTGGTCCACACTACCTGAAAGGAAGTTAACACTGTTGCAGGAGGCTTACTGTTTATAGTTAATAATATCCTTTCTCTTTTTTTTAGCTTTTAATTGTTTCCACTGGGAAATATAAAATATGAGTCTAAAAGAAACCTAAGCCTCAAATGCATTTTATTGGGTCCTCTGTGCAAAGGAGGAGGTGGGATTATGGTTCTTGGTATCACCAGGTATATTAGGAAAAAAATTTTCTTTTTATTCTTTAAAGATTGAAGTAAATAATACCGTAACTTATTCATTTACATGTTTGTTATTACAGCCCCAGAAAATGTATCTTACTGACTTATGATGATCAGTTTGATGAATATGAATCAAATATTTTGCTAATCTTTTCTTCTGTAAGAAAATAGATGGTTGACAGACTTGTGCTGGGGGTAGTTGAAAGCGCCTTTTTTGCAGTTAAATACTCAGGATTTTTGTAAACACAAGGGGAAAATGGTCAAACACAAATGTAGACTACTTTTTTTAAACCTTAGTATGGTGAAAAAAATATAATAAAATAAACCTTAGTATGGTGTTCTTTCAGAACAGGAATGTTTCACTTACCTGCAAATGCATTTCTGAAGTTGGGCATATTCATTTGTAAAACACAGAGGGGCCCTGCAGTATATTCTTGTGCAGATTGTAGATTCTTTTCCCATTGAGAAGAGTTGCCCCTAATTTACTTAAGACTTTTATAATTTAGTTTTCTTAAAATGAGGCATTTATTGACTAGACAAAGCATGTTAAGTAAATGTGCATTTGACTATAGTTGTGTCACTTAAACACATATTTTCCACTCATGTGTGGCTGAATATGCCCTGCAGTTATTTCAGTATCAGTTTCTCTAGCAACCCCTTTCTTCAAGGATGATGCCAAGACATATTTGGGGAGGCCTGGTTTTTGTGTTGTGGCACACAGCGTATACTGCAGCTTTAGAAGGGATTTCAGGAATGGTTGGGTGGTGACAAATTTACTAAGAACTCCCAAGGAAGCTTCATATAGCCTTAGTTCAGCCTTGCTAGAAAATTACTTCTGATGACAATGAGTATCCTAGTAGTTCCACAGATAAGCTGAGATGGAAAATGTCTTCAAAGGAGACACTTTTTCACCTTGTGTTCACCTACACATTTTTTATGACTTCCACTCCTATCATGCCCAGGTCATTGGAGCCAGGATATTTTTATAACTAGAATGTTAATATGTAATAAAGCTTTGAGAGTGCATGCAGTGGATCTAAGCAGTGTAATCAGAAGCTTGTGCTTTGGTTCTCAGCAATTCTTAAGCTGCTGGTAGCAGAAATAGCCGTGGAAATATTCAAACTGCCTTGCCACAACATTCAGAAAATCGTGTGTCTTTTTATTGCACTCCTTGTCAATAAATAGATTTAGGATTTCTGAAGTTACAGAATTCTCATAGATGGCTGGGAAAATGTCTATACACACTACACACATATAATACACTATGAGTGTGCTAATATGTTTGCTTTTGTTTTTTTTCCTAGCCCATCAAAGCTCCTGAGTCTGTTTCCACTATAATCACTGCAGAATCGATCTTCTACAAGGTAAGCACCTGTAGGGTCACTGAGGGAAGATTTGGACCTGTTGTGTGATATGCTGCCAAATGTTGGGTTAGTCCAAAGGTCTCTGCTCCTCTGTACGGTATGTGATTATTTCTTGTTCTTTTCTAAACTATTTTCCCTCATAGGTGGCTGGTATAAGACATCTCATCCAGAGCTGAGGGGTAGTTGCTTATTGAAACATGTTATTTTTAACTATTTTAAGTATCTCGAAATGCTAACGTATAGTGTGGAGTCATGAAAGAGTGAACCATCCTAGTCACTGTGACAGTCACTGTGTGAGAAGCAGAGTAGGGGCTTGGACTAGTAGAGATTGTATAGACCTGATATCTGGTGGGTAGAGGAGGCACAGAGATTCTAAAATGCCTTTAAGGAGAAGTGAGAGGAATAAGGATAGTGGTGGTGATTAACATCTACTAGAAGTCCATGGTGAAATAGTCCAAAATGTTTTGATACAAGAGTGAGGAAGTCAGGTTTCCTGGGATCCAAAGCCCACAGACATCTGCTACTCCGGAGAGACATGACCTATTGTTATTTTTTAACCAGAAGCCTTAGGAAAGCAGTTGCAACATAGAAAAGAGCCCCAAAACCTGCAGGCCTGGCACAGGCAGCAGCCATTAAATACTGTTGATGTTTTGGGATCTGAATTATCTTTTGGGGGGCAGTGACACAAATTAGTGCTTCAAACCTGACTAAAGTGGACCAAACACTGAGAAACTCAAGTGTTATACTGTGTACCTTTTTTTGTTGTTGTTGTTAGCCCAGACTAACGGTCTGTATACACAGGCAAACATCTGTCCTGTATTTCCAGCCTTTCATCATTGTTAAGAATAAAATAGCTGAAGTTTAGCACGTGCTTGCTATGCATCAGCCACCGAGGTGAGCATGTCACATGCTTTACTTCATTCAATCCCCTCCATGAAGTGCTGCTGTTATTCCCACTTTATGGATGAAAATAGTGAGGCACAGAGAAATTAATGAACTTGTCAAAGATAAAATAGTCAACAAGTCATGGAGCAAGCTCAGCTCCTGGCTGCACTGGCAAGTGGCTGTGTGACTGGGCTGTGTGGCAACCTCTCTCGTGTTTCTTCATCTATAAAATAGGGATTGTAAATAGCAGCTACCTCAGTGGGTCAAGCAAGATCATGTATGTTAAACACTTAGCAGAGTAAGCACTCAATGAAGAGTAGAAATTGATATCCATCATGTTTTCAAATTTGTGTATCACTCTCACAGCTGAACATACAGTTTACAGATTGAGTCCAGAAGCAGCTGGTTTGGGGGGGCACCTGGCTGGCTCAGTCAGAAGAGCATGTGGCTCTTGATCTTGGGGATCTCCACACTGGATGTGGGGTTTACTTAAATAAATAAACTTAAAAAAAAAAAAAAAAGCAACTGGTTTGGCTAAGGATTTAGTGTACTAGTGATTTCCACGCATGTCTCAACTGACAAAAAGGCAATGGCGTGTGGGACCTGTTATCACAAGTATCAGGATTTCTTATTGCTATCTACCATCCACATTTGTTAAACAATAAGGACAAAGTGCAACAAGATATTCGGGTAATGCTGCAGATACCATACCCAGTACTGCAGAGGCCATCACTGCAGTGCCACTGTGGTCAGCACCAGGGCAGGAGAGTTAAAAGGTCACTGCCATCTGTTGAACTGGAGTCCAGATCAGGCATGCTAGGGGGAGCTGAGTGGGAACCACTGGGTCTGATGGCCAAGAGTATGGGCAGCCAAGACCCCAGATGGTTAAATGGCCTTCCTGTGGCAAAAGAGCTCCATGAACCACTCTGCTTACTCCTAATCCAGTGTTCTTCAGTATGTTGTGTTGACCTTCTTTCTTGTCTGCCAAAAACCCTGAAACCTCCCTGCAAATGAAGGGACTCTTTAGATCAAGTACCTTAGTCACGTCCATTGCTCTATGTAGGTACATACACAACACATGTTAATAAACACTTACCATATGCCAGGTACTGCTTGCCATTGGAATCTTTCACCAAGATATTGTCTTTGCCTTGCAGTTCTGTTTTCACATGATTATATATTTTGAGTTAATATGTATTAAGCATATATTTGAGTGCCTATGATAAGCAAGGTCCTGTTTTTTTATGTGTGAAAAAACAAACTAATCATTGGTAATTTGGGAATAATGATTCTATGTGTAGACAAAGTAAACCATAAGTGTAAAGTATTTATATGACAAAGAACTTTGAGTAGTGTCTACAAGGACCAGATGATGATGGATGTGAACTAGGAAGTAGCAGATGGTAGCCCCCATTAACCCTACCTGTCCATAGTGATCAACATACAGCAGTCAGCCTTAGACACATGAATGAAGGATCCACCTGGAGAAACTCCTGTCACAGTTCACTCACTGCAAGTATTTCTTCAGAATTATTTTTAGGGTTGAGACTCACAATATCTTTAATGGCTTTACCGGCTGCCAAGGCCCTATTTTGAGTGAAGCAGTGATAAATCACACTTGGTTCCTGCAAGTCAAGGATTCCTTCACCAGCTGAAAACCACACGTACCTAAGGAAGTGCTGAGTATCATTTGGATCAGCCATTATAGGTGTTGGAAGGAGAGATTATTTCCTTTTCAAGACCTAGGGGAGAAAACATACAACAGATAGCAGACAGAGTCATAGGGAGGGCTAGACACAGACATGTACAGATTAGTTAGTTGGCTGTGAAGTAGAGTGGGGATAAGACATGAGGCCTTGAGGGGCACCTGGGTGGCTCAGTCGGTTAAGCATCCAACTTTGACTCAAGTCATGATCTCGCAGTCTGTGAGTTGGAGCATCAGGCTCTGTGCAGACAGCTCAGAATCTGGAGCCTGCTTCTGATTCTGTGTCTCCCATTCTCTCTGCCCCTCCCAAAGATAAACATTAAAAAAATAAATATAAATAAATAAAAAATACATTAAAAAAAGACATGAAAGCTTGAGTGCCAGACATACAGGTAATTGTCTTGTGGGAGGATATCAAAGTGAATGGGAAAGGACCTATCCTGAAGACTGACTATAATCAGAAGAGTTTCTGTCATTTCTTTGGGTTTGAATTTGTCATGTCCGTTTTCTTTATGGACGCCAATGAGGGAGATGTATAGAGCATATTCTCATCCAGGAAGCACTGCTTTTCAGTACAGGACAGAGAAGGACCACTGAGCTGATAAAGGAGCCCCAGCTGCGTTCTCTGCCTTATGTAGCCTTCAGCAAGTCTGATATGAAAATCTGATATGAAAATTCTGATATGAAATCAAAGTGTCATTATAAATAAATGTTTCCTCCAGATGCAAGTTTCACGTGTGTGTAATTTTCATTCAAGAGTGAAAAACTTCAGGATTGGCATCAACAGTATAAATGTTGATGCATATTAGACCATCTCAAAGGTGTTTTACTGACCACTTTGCAAACTGTTTATTTCATGTTAAGGAGGTTTCAGTTCATAGCTGTGGTTTTTATTTTCACTTCAAATATGGGATTATCTTCTGTCTCCCCCAGGGAGTCTATTACCAAATTGGAGACGTTGTTTCTGTGATTGATGAACAAGATGGAAAGCCCTACTATGCTCAGATCAGGGGCTTCATCCAGGACCAGTATTGCGAGAAGAGTGCCGCACTGACGTGGCTCATTCCCACCCTCTCTAGCCCCCGGGGCCATTTTGATCCTGCATCCTACATCATCGGTGAGTATGACAAGTGGCACAGGTAAGTCTCCACTACTACATAAAGGAATGTATTAGTCTGCTCAGGCTGCCATAACAAAATAGCACAGGCTGAGTGCCATAAACACAAAACCTGTTTTCTCACAATGCTGGAGGCCAGAAGTTGAAGATCAAGGTGCTGTCAAGATCACTTTCTGATAAGAGCTTTCTTCCTGGCTTGTAGGCACCACCTTCTCCCTAAGGCCTCAAATGGCCTTTCCTCTGTGTGTGCACACTCCTAGTGTCTCTTCCTCTCCTTAGAAGAACATCAGTCCTAGCAAATTAGGGCTCTACCCTATGACCTCATTTTTTTTTTTTTATTAACTTGTTTTATTTTTTATTTTTTTTTTTAATTTACATCCAAATTAGTTAGCATATAGTACACCAATGATTTCAGGAGTAGATTCCTTAGTGCCCCTGACCCATTAAACCCATCCCCCCTCCCACAACCCCTCCAGTAACCCTCAGTTTGTTCTCCATATTGAAGAGTCTCTTCTGTTTTGTCCCCCTCCCTGTTTTTATATTATTGTTGCTTCCCTTCCCTTATGGTCATCTGTTTTGTCTCTTAAAGTCCTCATATGAGTTAAGTCATATGATTTTTGTCTTTCTCTGACTAATTTCACTTAGCATAATACCTCCCAACTCCATCCATGCAGTTGCAAATGGCAAGATTTCATTCTTTCTAATTGCCGAGTAATACTCCATTGTATATATATGCACCACATCTTTATCCATTCATCCATCGATGGACATTTGGGCTTTTTCCAAACTTTGGCTGTTGTTGATAGTGCTGCCATAAACATTGGGGTGCGTGTGTCCCTTCGAGACAGCACACCTGTATCCTGTGGATAAATGCCTAGTAGTGCAATTGCTGGGTCGTAGGGTAGTTCTATTTTTAGTTTTTTGAGGAACCTCCATACTGTTTTCCAGAGTGGCTGCACCAGCTTGCATTTCCACCTATGACCTCACTTAACCTTAATTATCTCCCTAAAGGCACATCTCTAAACACCATCACTTCAGGGGTTAGGACCTCAACATATGAATTTGTGGGACTATAACTCAGTCCATGGCAAAGAAACATAAGTATCATTAAATGTTAAAAAGGAAGAACTTTATAGAAAATATGAAAGATATTTTATATAGTTGGGGTTTGAGTGCTATCAGTTTTTGAGTTGGGGCAATACATACCTACTAACAAGTGATGTGGATAAGATTTTTCTGAGCGACCCAGGTTAAACTCTATTAAAAGAATTTATTGCTCAGGAGTTAGGCTTATTTAGGCATATTGACTTATAAAAATCTAGTTAAAAATAATTTGAAAAGCAACCATCCCTATTATTTCTGGCATCTTAACAAAGTTTCATTATGTATCCCTCCACATGTCACACATATTCATCCTAGACGTTTATAACATGTCATTGTGTACAGTTGGAATGGCAGCCACTGTACTTTTATGCATTTCAAAGCTGACAAAAGAAGTGGTATAAATGTTTCTCATAGACTTGCAGGAAGAAGTTGCTGATTAATACAGTTTAAAACGTGTTCAGAGTTTTTAAATTACCCCATATTTTCAACCTTTCTGCAGTGAACTTGCATTACTTTTCATACGAAGGGTTTTTTGTTTTTTCCAGAGGGAACTCAGGGACAAATAACTACTGCTGTTATTCTCACCTATGGGTGAAGCTTGATACACAATCAGTTCTAAGTCTTCTGCTTGTAGGTACATAGAAGAGTGGACTTTCATCTCCCTGACTTCTAGGACTTCTAGGAGTTCTCAGCAGAGGCGGTGATGTGAAGAATCACCTCTGGGGCTCCTCTCCCACCTCCTCCTCTAATCCTCAGATACTAGAATGGGAAGTATGCCATAGAGATTCAGAACACAGGTGCTGGCGCCAGACTGTCTGGGTTCATAGCCAAGCACTTACTAGTTGTGTGGCCCTGAGCAAGTTCCTTAATCTCTCTTGCCTTGTTTTCCTGATACATAGAACAGGAATAATAATAGTGCCTTCCTCCAAGCAAAGTTGTGAGGACTCAAAGTATCCGTGTATGTGCAGTACTTAGAACAGTATGGGCACATAATAATAAACACTGGTGTGCTAATATTTTTAGAGTCCTTCCTATATTGAGTCACTGTTTGGGGGAGTTAAACAGGTAAAGTAGAAAAAGTAGGGGAGAGTGACTTCAGAGTAATACATGTGTCAAGGACTAATGTCAGGTCACCAGAGTGGTTTGTCCTACCATTTAGGAATTTTAACCCTTTCTGAAAATGACATATATGTTCAAAAGATATTTAATCTTTCCACTGACTGCCTTTTAGGACCAGAGGAGGATCTTCCAAGGAAGATGGAATACTTGGAATTTGTGTGTCACGCACCTTCTGAATATTTCAAGTCACGTTCATCACCATTTCCCACGGTTCCAACCAGACCAGAGAAGGGCTATATATGGACTCATGTTGGACCTACTCCTGCAATCACTATTAAGGAAACAGTTGCCAACCATTTGTAGTTTAGAAAGTAAAACTTATTTCCAGTTATCTTGGATTCATAGTACTCTATGACTTGCCACATATTTCTTTCATGAAATTCCTAGACGGAAAGAAGACTAAGAAGTTTTTCCCTACTACCCAGTAACCAGTAGCTTATTTATTACTAGTCACTTGGAAAGTGAAAAGGGATAACAAGGAATTAAATTACAGGCAAAGGCTATAATTTCCAGGGAGACCATTAGGAACAGGTGGTTATCTATTTTTCTCCATGGATTGTATTCTCTAAATGGATTGTATTTTTCTACAAGAACAAAATGGTAATTAAGGTTTAGATTTCTGACTAAGGACTTAATCAAATAAAATATAGCTATGACCAACTGTATCTATCACAAAGTTACACAAGCTTTATTTTCTCATCTAGAAAATGTTAGGTAGACTCTTGGCCACTTAAACCTTAAAGAAACTGATAGGTGGATGACTGTATTAGACTGGGCTTTTTAAAACTTTATTCTGCAGCAAAGAGATGCAGAATTATTTTGTTGATCTTAACAGAGCTGCTCATTCTTCATTGTTTTTACCTCCCTTTCTCAAACTGAGGTTTCCAATCAAACAATAAAATTTTGTAGAGCAGACTGAACTTCATGAAAAGCACATAGGAGACACCTAGTGTTCAGGCATCCCACTTGGTAGTTTCTTGACTACCATTAGAACAACCTTTTGGCCGTCATAAAAATGATTAATGGGCCATAAGCATTTAATATCTTCAAAAAGTCTACCATCTGCTATAGAGTCATAGTAACAGGCCTAAAACAAAGTCTTAGACTTAGAAGCCCTATTTTCTATGAAATTGTCTAGAATTCAGGTGTAAGTTTTACTTCAAATGCAGGTCAGCTAAGTAAGGGGACAACAATGTGAAAATGGGAAGAAGTGGGGACCATACACTCGTGCCTCCAATTCTGTTGTGACTTAACCAGCATTTTTCAACTCCAGGAAAATTTGTCAGAATCGTATTTAATCGTAGTGATTTTGAGTTGTAGCAAAACAACTCTTATTTAATCGTAGTGATTTTGAGTTGTTGAGTTTTACCTGTTCACATTTTTCTACACAGTGATGGTTTGTATGTTAGAAGCAAGCAACTGTAGATAGCTCTATGTACATAGTTATCTCTACAAAAGTTACAGTAAAATTTGTTGTAAATACTATTGTAAATAGCTAAGTGCCAATATTCAAACTTTTGGATTAAAATGTATTTTTCATATTGTATTCACTTTGGATTTATTTCATTTAAACATTTAAATGTGGGGCTTTCTAATGGTATAAATATAAAACACCAAGGTTATACTCTTAATTTGGAGCAACAGATTGATCAACATATACTTGATTTTAGGAAAATTTCAAAGAATGGCTACTTGGGAAAAGAAATACTTAATGTAAGATACTTATTAAAATGTAAAAATAATGGGGTGGCCTGGCTGGTTCAGTCAGGGGAGCATGGTACTCTTGGTCCTGGGGTTGTAAG